AGGCCAGTGTAATTAAACTGATCAGTCTAAAATCCCAATAAATGTTTATTTTGGATCAACAAATGGGTCCAAACTGAAAACTGGAGCGGGTTTTTGTGGCCCAAATTTCCAGAAGACCTTTTTGATATTTTTTAATCGGAAATCTTTACCATCCTCAGATAGTCAGGTGTCATTCAAGTCCCTATTATCATTTGAATTCAGTTCGGAGTTATATACTTCACGTTATATTCTTCGCCATGAAGACAAAGAATGTGACGATACTCATCTGTCGGTACGGAACATTATTACGGTATCTCCTTGGGTATGCAGAAAAAAATGTAATGTATGGGTTCAGTATAAGATTGTTCGTCATTGGGAGCCCTAACACAGCTTTAACGAACTGATCCGCTGATCTGATTTAATCAAAACAAGAAATTAAAACTGTTATTTTAATTTTGTATTTAGATATGGCGAAAATTTGGAAGATTTAGTTTCACACGTATGTTTTTCGAATTGCTGTTATTTACTGCAATGTTATCCGTTTTACTGATATGCATTCTATGGTAAGTACTTTGAGTTTCTATTGGGACATTGAATTTACTTTATATATTACAGGTGGACGATATATAATGTTCCAAGTAGCGACCGTAGTTTATATATTTGCATTCTGTATGTCCTATTTTATCATACTGGCATACTAATGAATTTTCATCGGAGGTGGGTATTGTGGGTTTATACTGCAGAAGTTATTTTAGGAAATGGTTAAATCGGTGCTTAATAAATCACATACTAATTCAATTATTTTAAATCGGTGGTTCTAAACATATTTGGATTTTATTCCAAAATGATTATGACACCCCAAAGTCTAGTCTGGGTCCTTATGATTTGTCGAAATAGCTCGCTCGTATATGTACTCTTGAACTTGGAGAGGAGGGACGATTTAAGCATTTCCTTATAGTAATAGTTCACGTTTACATTCCCTCATATGTGTATCGGACGTACGGAAATAATTAAAGTATTTCTTATTACAATCTAGAGTGTAAAAATTGCCGATGCTGTTTATAGCATTGATTGGACTTCCTCAAGTGTCGAAGTCCGAAAATGTGTTTTAATATTGTTAGTGCGCTGTCAAACATCATTAACGGTGAGTTTAGTCCACTCAAGGATTTTTCATTAAGAATGACGCATTTTTTGGGTAACTTTAAACCGCTGATCTATGCCAACAAGCATTCAACGTTAGAAGAGCCTTTTGCCAACATTGAACGCGTAAATTCTGATATTTTGGCTAATTTGTGATCTCAAGTCGTATTCCCTAAATAATGACATTTATATATACCATTAATCCACAAATCATTTAAATGAACAAAAAAATGCATCGTTCTTAATTAGAAACGCTAACCTGTACATAGATTTTATTCCAAATTAATTTTTCGAAATATTTTACAATTAGATTTCAGCTGGCGGTGTGTATCCCATGACATTGGAGGCATTTCAGGTACTTTTAAATGCTGCATACACCTATTTTAACATGGCGCGAGGTTTTATGGCCCAATAATTTATATTAAAGGTATTCAATTGATCACAACACTATTATGCCATGGAGATGATCACGTATACAAATAATTTTATTAATTTTTTTCTCTCATATCAAAACACAAGTAAAAAGTAGAAGCAATATTCATGCCCCTTGGCAATAGGTTCTATGAATTCCTAGACTTTTTATATTGTTATAAAACTATTGAGTCATTAGACGTTCACAATATCATACAATAGCAAATACACCCGTAATATAAATTTAAATACAATATAATATGTATACATTATAGTAGATTTTTTTTAACTTACCCGCTCGTCACATGAGTGCCACGGCTAAAAACACGCCCCCATGCAGTAGAACCAATGTGAATTCTATGGTATATTTGACGTAACATGTTTTTAATTTAGTGAAATTTATTATTTTTTGCAGAAATCTAAAAAAAATATACAAAAATAAGAATACAAAGGCAAAAATACAGATATATGTATGCACAGATATTTGTTAAATTTTTGTTTAAAAATAAAAAAAAAAATAAAAAAATTATTTTATTATATTTCTGGAATTTGTTCTCTAAGATATTTCGTTAGGTAGTCAATGAATTGCTCACATGTCTATATATGTACTGTAAGGTGGGGAAGCCTGGGAATGTTCAGTCAATGATAAATGAAGATGATTTAGCAATTGATAGTGTGAAATTAAGTAATGTGTCTTATATGGACGTCACTATACTACGTTACTATTTCACCTTAATCGTATAAGGAGCCTCTAATCATTTACATTATTATTATAATTGAATCATACAGATTATATCGGGAAGATTTTTTGTTACGGCTCTCAATCTGTGGAGCAAAATTGGCCATCAGAATGTGTGACTTCGGTAGGTTATGAGCGTACAACAGTCTAACTAACTAACTAGTTAGTTATTTTGGAAGGAGGATGTACATATATACATCAAATCCGAAGAAATACACCTAGGCCCCAATCGGGCCTGTTGTGCGCTCCATAACGAGTGCCTCAGGTGGGAATCGAACCCACCACCTCCGATCTACCAGACTAGAACACTAGCCACTAACCTACCGGAGGCCACTAACGAACGAACGAACTAATAACTAACAACTAAAACTAACGAACTAACTAACTAACGAACTAACGAAAACACTAACGAACTAAAACTAACAAAACGAACTAACTAACGAACGAAGAAAGAACGAACGAACAACTACGAACTAACTAACGAAAGAACTAACTAAACTAACGAACGAACTAACGAACGAACTAAACTAACGAACGAAAACGAACGAACGCGAACGAACGAACTACGAACGAACTCGAACGAACGAACGAAAAAGAAGAACGAAAACGAACTAACTAACGAACGAACGAACGAACTAACGAACGAAAAACGACTAACGAACGAACTAAAACGAACGAACGAACTAAACGAACGAACTAACGAACTAACTAACGACTAAAACGAACTAACGAACGAACTAACGAACGAACGAACGAACGAACTAACGAAGAACGAAACGAACTAACAATAACGAACGAACGAACGAACTAACTAACGAAACGAACTACGAACGAACTAACTAACTAACTAACTAACGAATAACTAACTAACTAACAACGAAACTAACTAACTAACTAAGAACTAACTAACTAACGAAAAAACTAACTAACTAACTAACGAACTAACTAATAACTACTAACTAACTAACTAACTAACTAACGAACTAACTAACGAACTAACTAAAACTAACTAACTAACTAAAAAACTAACTAACTAACTAACTAACTAACTAACTAACACTAACTAACTAACTACTAACTAACTAACTAACTAACTAACTAACTAACTAACTAATACAATACTTAATTTGTGAGGATCGGTTCAATGCAGAAACCACATTACATGATAGGTTCTATTCCGAAATTATGTTTGGTACTTAAATGCCTCTCATAAAAATGTTGATATACATATATGTATATGGGCAATTTCATATTAAGTGACCCAACTCAAAAAACGATTTTGACGAAATTTGCACCAAGGTCGGAAGACAAAGTTGGGTCACTTGTCACGAAATGACCCAATATAAAAGAGTAGCGTTACTGACTGTTTTATTACCGCACAGCCCAAACGACTGAACCTAGAATCATAAAATTTTATGAAGTAAGGAAGAATTTTGTGGAAAATATATTTAGGGGGAAAGAATAGGTAAAACTAACTAATTAAAATTGTTAAATAAATGTTAAATTTAAGGAGTCAAAAAGAGTAACAAAGGTGATTTTGGTACCTTTTTTGGCCCTTTATATAAACTATTTAACTAATAAACATATTAAGATATTTCGAAATATACTGGATATATCTCTCAAAATTATCAGACACTTGTTTCGTACTTTTTTAAAATTCAGTCCTTTTTGGGTGTAGCGAAGAAGAAAACTATATTTTTGGTACTTTTTAGCATTTTAGAGTTTAGAGTTTTATTTGTATATACATATACAGATTTAAGCGTATTTTGAAAACTTAATTCTAGAAAAGTTCCATAAAGAAAGAATTTACTCTAATATATCATCGTTCTAATCGTATTTTTGAATTTTAACAATATTAATATAGAAACAAAAAGAAGAGAATCAAATAAAAAGGTGAAAATTTTTTGGTACTTTTAGTTCATAAAATGGTACTTTTGTATTTTCTTTAAATTTGACCTAGAAACATAAAATTTAAATTTGGTACTTTTTCGTTCTTCAAATGGTACTATAATATTGAAGATGCAGGGTCCTGACTGAATAAGAATCTGTAAGATGGAGCTCTTTGGTACTTTTCATTTAAAGAATGAACGTTTTAAAGTTTCTAAGTGGGGAACCGAAAAAAATGACACACGGTTGATATGAAATCAGAATTTATAAGAGGGAGATTTTGGTACTTTAGTGCTTTACTATAAAAGTAATAAAAATTTTGTAAATAATTTAACTTAGGCAGCGAAGCAACCAGGGTACACTAGGACATTTATAAATCTATGTATTCATATAGAAGTGGAATTTTTGGGTGTGAAAAATGAATTAAAAAAATATATTTTAAAAAACAAATTGTTTGTCTAAACAAAACCACAAACATGACGTTTTCTGCAACATATAATTTAATTAAACTGATGTGACGTATATTTATTTGTTTATAAATTAAATAACAAAAACAAATATAAATGAATGCTAAATAGTGAATGACGTTCAAATTAAATCTCATAAAAATTGTAAAATTTATACATTCGAGGTCTGGCTTTTCTACTACACAATTCCATTAGACGAAAGTCCATGTCTGTATGCGTGCCCAAATAAACAATTCAATTTTGTAGGGGGTAAAAATAATTTATTTTTATTATTTATTTATAGTCCAAAATGTAAATACAAAATCGAAATACTACTTCTGCCTAATTGTTATTGGTTCACATGAAAAATTTTTATTTGGTAATTTTATTGCTAAATTAAATTTGTATTTTTTGTTCATGTGTTATCAATAAAAATTAGTTTTCATTAAAAATAGCTGGAAAATAAAATAAAATTTGTGATTAATCATGTGTAAACACAGCCCAAAAAATATAGCTACCGATATTTTCTGGGAAAATTTATTATATAGTGCAAAGTAATTATTATAATTGGATTAATTTTATCGCAGTCTATATAATGTATGACAAGAAAATGTTGTATTTCGTAGAAAATCAAAATAATAGATTTAGATAGAAATGTAGAAAGTTATAGGTTGGATGGAATTTTGTTATTTTCAAAATATATCTGGGGTTTTTTAAGAAGGAAATATACATCAATTAAAATCGATAATTACTTAAAAAAGTATGAATTAGAGGTAAAAGTATCAATCAATAAAAATTTTGATGACAAAATTATTAGGAATACATTTTAAAGTTAATTTAGCTTTGGGAATCTAAAAATAGAAAATAGTACGTACGATTTTAATATCGAATGAACTTTTATTGATTAGGGGAATCTAGAATTCTAGATAAAAGCTGTTAGTTTAAGGCGACCAGATTTTGGAAATGTAAATAGATGACATAAGATGGAATGGTTATTATCACACCCTTTGTCAGCTCATTGTCCAAATTCTCGTTCTCCCAGAATGAATGATTGGCAGTATTATCCGGCGCTCGTATATGGATCGGACTTCAAAAGCTCAGCAGAAATCCCGTCAACACCTGGAGATTTGTTCCTCTTAAGACTGCCAATTGAATCTGCGATTTCAACTATGGTGGGATATGTGGAGACGATATATGGGTCATCCATTTGTGATTAACATACACAGTCAAGCCGTATGGGACGGTTACTACCCGGTGTGGTCCTCCCACACCTCAACCTGTTGCTCTTCTGTTGTCGCAAGTTCACCGGTCGCATCCTTTAAGGGCCTTTGTGATACTGCGTGAACACCCATCATTTTCCTCAAGAGTCTGTACATATCGCCGGCACGATGGCTCTCCGCTGTGAATGAGCGTGCCTGCTGATTTCGTCTAGCCAACATCTTTTGTTCCGACGAGCACTACGTTTCACTTCTCTGTCGAGGTCATAGTATCGGGTTTGCAGATGTAATTTAGAACTATGAGTACGAGCTCTTAAGTTCAGATTTATATTCTTCCTTTGTTTGATTGCTTCGATGACTTCACCCTATTCCATTAACTCACCCTCTTGACAAGTACTAGCAGCATTTCCCAAGGTTCGGAATATGAACTACAGCATCCTCAGCCTATGTGCAGACAGCCTAAGAAGATAACACGTTTATAAAGCGAACCACTTAATATAAGAACAGACGCCCGCTTGCAGCCGCTCCAGCTAGGAGAACAGGCGCTGCAGTCACCTCTCACAATTCGACGATGCTTGACGGGTTTCAATAACATCGCCCAGGGACGACCACGTTTTGTCGACTTGGAGTATCATTGATAAGGATCCACACTGGATTCACCATGTAGAACCAATCAGTAGCTTTCCTTATTATTACACCCCAGCCCCCAATAATC